AGCCTCCGCTTCACGCTGAGAACCAGGGCATAGTGGGGTTAGCTGTGGACCCTGAGCCCTATCTGTGTAGCCCTCTGGTGCCTGCTCAGCCTGAGCCAGGAACCCACAGTCAAGCTTATGGGCGGCCTTCTCCGGGAGCAGGGAGCATTGCCTCTTCTCCACCAGAAGCAAATGCCCACCCGTTGTCCACCCAGACTGTGTGAGGCCGAGCAGTAGGCCAAGCTCTCTGTCCTGGAAGTCCTTTGAGAAGCCTAATGTGAGGCCCAGCCTCTGCCGGTGATAACCATCAGCCAGAATGGAAGTCCTCATGTGCTGGTCAAACACAGGGAGAGAAGAAGGGCTGCGTCTGGCCAGTTTCCAGCTTCCTCTCAGGCTGTGACAACCCCTAATGAAACATCCCTTCCTAATTCACAGTTTTCCCCGAATATAGACCTTGTGTCCTCACTGGAGTGGAGTTCACCAGCCCAGCTGTGTCCAGGCAGCTCTGGGCTGACAGAGAGAGAGAGAGAGAGCTATACACACACCTGGTTTGGAGAGAGGCCAGGCCTCTACAGGGGAGGGTGAAGAACTTCCCTACTGGTGGGTGTGTAATGTGGCTCTGCTTGCCACCCAAAAAGCCATGTGGGTTTCCTGAACTGGTCAATTTGTAGGAAGATTGTGCCCTCTGACGTCCCTGAAGCCAGATCATCAAAGTGCTTCCACTGAGCACTTTTCCCATCTGCCTGCCCCATTCCCCTAACAAGAACCATCACACAGACACCCCCACTCCCGCCCACCGAAAGTCTCAAAAAGCCTATTTCTGCTGAAAGAGTCCACAGGGGGATGTCTTAAACTTGCCATTTTGACCTTATTCTTTTGAGTAGGCCATTAGGAAAAGGACACTTGATAGAAATAATCAGAGTCAAGGCTGCTAGGATAAACATCTGACTGAGGAATCAAATCTTTATTGTGAAATTCACACAAACGCACACGCACACACACACACATACACACAGACTTTATCTTGAGAAAACTAATTTTGGCCAAACCCCATTGTAAAAAATCAGATTTGGTTGACTATGAAATAAAATCAAGGAATTAAATTGGTTTTAATGGAACTCCTGAAGGAAAATACTTTTGGCAAAAACTTGTCAATATTAGCTTAATGGTCTGTGTAAAAGCTCAAAATGTCAAAATATTCTCAGGGCTTGACAGCCGAGCCAAGAACATTGTCAACCTTGTAGAAATAGGAGGAGCACCGAAAGAATTGGGAAGCCTTCCACCTGCCCAGGCTAGTAGTAGCCATGATCTCAGCTCACAGGGCTGCGTCCTCCTTCAGAACTGTGCTGTTGGGGTGCCAGTTGGTTAAGCATGTTCGACTTTGGCTCAGGTCACGATCTCCTGGTTGGTGAGTTTGGCTCTATGTCCGGCCCTCTACTGTCAGCAGAGTCCATTTTGGATCCTTTGTTGCCCTGTCTCTCTCTGCCTCTCCCCAACTTGTGCTCACCTCTCTCAAAAATCATTAAAAAAACCCAAACAACTGTGCTATCAGGTTCAGGAACTGTTCTTATCCCTCTCATACTTGATCAGTGGATGGAGGGCAGTTCTTACTTGACCAGGGAAGAGTTCTCCCTTAGGGAAGCAAAGAACTCTGGAGGAGTTGATTTGTGAGGCTAGGTTTTCACCTGGATGCCACTAGAGGCAGAGGAGGTGCCTGGGGGCGAGAGTGGGGACGTCCTTAGGTGCATCTGTGTGGCCTCAAGCCAAGATGACCCCATTACCGAAGGCAGGAATGGTGACTGACTATTCACTCAACGTGTGCGTATTGAGCACCATTCACCAAACATCGTGGGCGCTGGCTGAGAATCTGGTCCCTGCCCTCATGCCCCATACATTCCTGGAGGATAAGATTGGTGGTAAAGCAAACAGATGAGTGCAGTCGCGTCGAATGATGGCAGTGAGGTGAAAGACAAAGACACCCGCAATTTAAAAGGTCACCCCAAGTGCTGGGTAAAGGTTAGATTGTGGGGAGAAAGCAAGAAGCCAGAAGCGTGGTTGGGAAGTACAGCATCATCAGGAGAGAGAGAGTAGTACCTTGGTGTAGAATGTTAGCTCTGGAGCTGGAGCAAAGTAGATGGGTTTGGAATATGTTTAAGTACTAGAGCTAATAGATTGGATATGAAGGGTGGTGGGGACAGGGAGAGGGATTCGGGGTGTGGGCTTGAGTAGCTAGGTGGATAACGATGCTGTCTCGAGGCTGAGGAAACCAAAAGAGAGCTGTTGGAGGTGTGGGCATGTGTGATTTAAAAGTTCTGTTTTGGCCGCGTTACGTTTGAGATGCTCAGTGAAGGCATCCAGGTGGAGTCAAGGTCAATGGAGAGGTCAAGCAGGACAATGACTTGGGACTTAGTTTATAAACGGTATTCAAATTACTTGGACTCTAGATTTTTTTTTTTTTTAATTTTTAACGTTTATTTTAGAGAGACAGGGAGACCGAGCATGAACAGGGAAGGGGCAGAGAGAGAGGGAGACACAGAATCCAGAGCAGGCTCCAGGCTCTGAGCTGTCAGCACAGAGCCTGACATGGGGCTGGAACTCGTGACCTGGGAGATCATGACCAGATATATCGAAATGTATCTTTTTGTTTTCAGTTTGTTTATTTTAAAAGAGAGAGAACAAGCAGGGGAGAAACGGGGGGGGGAGGGGGGGGAGAGAGAGAATCCCAAACATGCTCTGGGCTGACAGCACAACTCCCGAACCATGAGATCGTGATGACCTGAGCGGAAACCAAGAGTTGAACGCTTAACTGACTGAGCCACCCAGGAGCCCCATGGACTTTCTTAACATGAGGAGGTAGAGCCTCCCACACAGAAGACCCAGTAGCAACAAACAGAGAGGGAGAAGAGAAGCCTGGGGGGTGGAGTATCCCTGGAATGGAGAGTATGGGGAGGGAGGGGTGCTGAACAGGGTTAAGTGCTAAAAGACTCCATCATTTGAGCTAAGTGATAATGGCTTAGGCAAGATGCACATTGTTGACGGACTTGATAAGAGCAATTCCTATGGTGTGATGGGCTCCAGGGAAAAAGGTTGCATTTCTTCCCTGTTCAGAATGTGTCATGTGTAATTTCATTAACCCACACACAAAAGAGAGATACTATTATCTTGTTTTTTTATGGAAGTGACAGTATTGCGATTACCCCCATTTTATAGAGGTAGAAGCTGAGGCACAGAGAGGCATATTAACTCCTCCCTCATCAGGCAGCCGACAGCAAGTGGCACAACAGGATTTGAACCTAGAGAATCTGGAGGTGAGGACGTAGAGGCAGCGAGCAGTCTCTGTAGAGGAGAACAGAGACGGCACTGAGGATGTTTGCCTGCTGATAGGAATGATCCATGTGGAGGTTGAACTTGGTGATGTTGGAGGGGAGGCTGAGAACCAAAGTCTGAGTTAGTGGGAAGGATCCAGGGCCGATGGTGAGGGGGTGGCCTTTCCCAGAAGCATTCTACTGGTAACTCTGAAGTGGATCCTAATTGTCCTGAGCAAGATTACCCCTAGACCCAACTTCTCTCTGGCATGCCCCCTGCTGGCCTCCAGAGGCCTGCTGGGTAACTCTTTGTGGCCCCCACCCTTGCCAAACGGCAGCCAGCCTCCCTGTAGGAAGGCGCTGCCCAGGCCCAACCTTCCTCCCCACCCTCTGGCCTTGGGGCACCAGAGCCCAGGCTGGGCGGGCAGTTCTATCAATACACATCAGTGATTCTCCACCCAACTTTGACCTCCATGATCCCTGTCCTAAGCCTACAAGGCCCTTCTACAGGGTCTTGGCTGATCACTCTCTAGCTGCTGTCACACTAGCTTCCCTCGGACTCTGTCAAGTACCGACTGTTCTTCCCTTCTTCACCCTCTCTCCCTTCTCTGCCTGGCTAAGTCTTACACAGCCTCCTGACTCGGCCTAACAGTCCCATCTCAGCCCTCTATCTGCTCCAGCAAGATGAGGCCCTCCTGTTAGCTCGACCCCCAACACTGCATGCTGACCCTTGTGGTGCTTTTCCTGTTTATAATGTGGTTTTTGGCCCAATGTCTGTTTTCCACGCTAGGCTGTAATCTTGAGAGTAGGTCTATTTCACCAGTTATTTCCAGTGCCTGGTATACAGCAGGTGCTCAGTAATGAAATGAAAGAAGAAAGGAATTGGTGACTGCATTATAGCCTTATAGCCTACTTGGTATTTCTCTGGCTCGGATATGCTGTGTACAATACTCGATTCTCTGCACGCATTTTACTACAAATTTTTGAAGTTTTCCAGATTACCTTCATGATTATTTTCATCTTGGTTTGAAGGTGTGTTAAAGAGTTTAATCCAGTATCTTTGGCCATCCATTTAAAATAGAAAGAGGGAGACTCCTGGGTGGCTTAGTTGGCTAAGCATCCAACTTTGGCTCAGGTCATAGATCTCACAGTTGGTGAGTTTAAGTCCTGCATCAGCCCCTATGCTGACAGCTCGGAGCCTGGAGCCTGCTTCAGATTCTGTGTCTCCTTCTCTCTCTGCCCCCTCCCCCACTCACACTCTTTCTCTTTCAAGAATAAATAAACATTAAAAAATATACAAAAAATAAAATGAAATAGGGGCACTAGGCCACTAGGCTCCATGCTGAGCATTGATCCTGCTTAAGGTTCTCTCCCTCCCTCTTTCCCTCTTTCTCTACCCCTCTCCCCCGCTTGCTCTTGCGCTCTTTCTCCCTCTAAAATAAAAAAATAGGGGCGCCTGGGTGGCTCAGTTGGTTAAGCATCCGACTTTGGCTCAGGTCATGATCTCATGGTCTGTGTGTTCGAGCCCCGCATCAGGCTCTATGCTGACAGCTCAGAGCCTGGAGCCTGCTTTGGATTCTGCATCTCCCTCTCTGTCTCTGCTTCTTCCCTGCTCATGTTCTGTCTGTCTGTCTCTTCCACAAAAAAACATTAAAAAATAAAAGAAAAATAAATAAAATAGAGGCACTAAACTTGTACATTATTGATTCTTCCCAGTAGGATGGCTGGTTTGGTTTTGTGTGAACCAATAGAGCTTTACAACATCTTGAATCAGGTCACAAAACTGTCGCGATTGACTGAACCCAACTATCTCTGCCTATTGGGTAAGTGCTTAAAAAAACAAAACAAAACTATGTTTCATTAGTGTCCTTCAAATACGATTTTTGGTGAATTGAGAAATCTCTGGGGCCGAGGGAATACATGACGTTAGAAAACCTTTAGATTCCTTCAACATAGCTTAAAATGATGCTACTAATTGTCCCGTGACTTGGAAATCATTCCAGATTAAGTCTAGAAGGTCTTGAAAGACCTGTGTTCTTGTTGAGCAAAACATTTTGAACCTCTAGCAAATACATAGTAACGCTAATAAATGCCCATGTACCCACCACTCAGATTCAACCTAACATAAGGTTACACATAGATGTACCCCTCTATCTACCCCAACCTGATCCCATTCTCCTCCACTCCAAAGATGATGGGTTCTGTATTTTTTACATTTTTACTATAGATGGAAGCATCCTGAAATAGTGTGTGACCTGATCATTTATACAAATTGTACCGTAATGTACAATCATTCTGCAGTTTGCTTTTTCTTAAAATTTATGAGACCCCTCCCCCAAGTCTAAATGTGAAGATCTGTTAACTGTTAGGGTAGTGCCCATTACTAATCAGTCGTGATGTGTTGCTTGCGTTGTGTTTCTATTATGAACAGTATCTTGTGCGTCTCTTATTCACGGGCAAGAACTTCTTCAGGGTATCTAACTAGAAATAGAATCGACAAGTTGCAGATTCCTCATTCATTACATTGTTGTGAAATTTCCCTCTAAAAAGATGATCATTTTGCATTCTTATCATCAGCGCAAGACGCATACCTACCAACACCTGATTCTGTCAGCCTTGAAAATTTTTGCATTCTGATTGGTGTGAACTTGTATTGATTTTTTTTCTCTCCCAATTAAAAAAATTGCAATAAAATACGCATAATATAAAATGTGCCATCTTGACCACTTTTGAGTGTACAGTTCAGTGGTATTAAATACGTTCATAATGTTGCACGGTATTAGCTACACCATCATCCACCTCCATAACTCCTCATCCTGTAAACTCTAAAACAAACTGTATACCCATTAAACACTAACTCTTCATTCCTCCCATCCCTTAATCCCCTGGAAGTCACCATTTTCCTTTCTGTTTCTATGATTTTGACCATTGTAGGTCATGTAAGCAGAACCATACAGTATTTGTCTTTTGTGACTGGCTTATTTCACTGAGTATCCTCATGTTGTCCAGGTTTATCATGTTCTAGCACACTGCAGAATTTTCCTCTTTAAGTCTGAATAGTACTCCATTGTATGTTTATACCACATTTTGCTTATCCATTTATTTATCAACAGACATTTGGGCTGCCTGCATGTTTTAGCTATTGTGAATGATGATGATCATGGGTGTACAAGTATTTCTGAAACCCTGCTCTTTATTTATTTTGGGTATGTAAATCAGAAATGGAATTGCTGCATCATATGGTGATTCTCTTTGTGATTTTTTTGAGGAACTGCCACATTGTTTTCCATAGCGCCTGCACCATTTTACATGAACACAAGTGTTCACAAGTTTCTAATTTCTCCATGTCATTGTTAACACTTGTTCTTTTCTTTTTTTTTCTTTTTTTTTTTTTGAGGGGGGGATCATTCTAACAGGAGGAAGGTAGTATCTCTGTATAATTATGATTTGTATTTCCCTAATGATTAGTGATGTTGAACATGTTTTCATGTACTTATTGGCCATTTGTATATCTTCTTTGCAGAAATATGGGATTGACTCCTTTGCCCATTTTTGAATCAGTTTTTTTTATAACTTTGAGTTTTACGAGTTATCTACATATTCTAGGTATTAATCCCTCATCACATTTAATGGTCATCAAGTTCAGTTTCTCGTTTCTTTTCCTTTTGTTGCTCATGCCTTTGGTGTCCTATCCAGGAAATCATTGCCAATTCCAATGTCATGAAGATTTGCCCTATGTTTTCTTCTTCAGGTTTACACTTTTAGGTCTTACATTTAGGTCTTTGATCCATTTTGAGTTCATTTTTGTATGGCGTTAGGTAAAGCTCCAACTTCATTCTTTTGCATGAGAATATCCAATTTTCCCAGCACCATTTGTTGAAAAGACTGTCTCATTCTTAGTCTCTTGAGATTCTGTATGAATTTTAGGATGGGTCTTCCTTCTTTCCTTCCATGTCCTTCCATGTTTGTTTATTTTTGGGCAGATGTAGTGCAGAGCCCAATGTGGCACTTGATCCCATGAACCCTGAGACCATGACCTGAGCCAAAATCAGTAGTCGGCCACTTAACCAACTGAGCCACCCAAGCACCCCAGGCTTTTCTCTTTCTATATATAAAAAAAAAATCATTGGGAGTTTGATAGTGCATTGAATCTATAGATTGTTTTGTATAATATTGATATCTTAGCAACATTGTTTCCCAGTTCATGAACACGGAGTGTTTTTCCATTAATTTGTCCTTTAATCTCTTTCAGCAACGTTTTGTAGTTTTCCATGTCTTTTACCTCTTTGGTTAAATTAATTTTTAATTATTTTATTCCTTTTGACATTATCGAAAATGAATGATTAATTTCTTAGATCATTTATTGTGAGTGTGCAGAAATACAACTGTTTTTTGTGTGTTGACTTTGTATCCTGCAGCTTTGATGAATTCATTTGTTCTAGCAGGTTTGTTTGTTTTGGTCAGATCTTCAGGCTTTTTCAAATCTCCTTGAACTTTACAGCACAAAGAATATATCTTAATGTATGGAATTTTTAAAAGTTTATTTTTTTTAGTAATTTCTATAGTCAGTGTGGGTCTCAAATTGATGAACCCAAGATCGAGAATCACCTGCTCCTCCAGCTGAGCCAGCCAGGTGCACTTTAGGGTCGTTGTTTTTTTGTTTTGCTGTGTGTGTGTGTGTGTGTGTGTGTGTGTGTGTATCTTTTGTCTTTTACACATATAAGATGATGATATCTGCAAACCGAGATGATTTTGCTTCTTTTACAGTTTAGATGCCCTTTATTTCCTTTTCTGTCTTTTTTTTTAATTTTTAAATTTATTATTGAGATAGAAACAGAGCATGAGTGGGGGAGGGGCAGAGAGAGAGGGAGACATAGAATCTGAAGCAGGCTCCAGGCTCTGAGCTGTCAGCACAGAGCCCGACATGGGGGTCGAACCCATGAACCATGAGCTCATGACCTAAGCTGAAGTCAGAGCCTTAACCAACTGAGTCTCCCAGGTGCCCCCTTTATTTCCTTTTCTTGCCTAATTGCTCTGGCTAGGGCTTCTAGTACTAGGTTGAATAGAAGTGGTGAATGTCCACATCCTTGTGTTTTTCCTGATCTAGAGGAAATGTCTTTAGTCTTTCACCATTGAATATGATGTTTGCTCTGGGTTTTTTTGTTTTTTTGTTTGTTTTTTTTTTACATATGATTTTAGTATGTTGAGGTCATTCCTTTTTATTCCTGGTTTGCTGCATGTCTTTATTATGAGAGTGTACCGCATTTTGTCAAATGCTTTTTCTCAGCAGTTGGAATGATCATGTGGTTTCTTTCTTTCATTCTGTTGATGTGGTGTATTACATTGACATTTTGGTGTGTTGAACCATCCCTACATTCCAGAAATAAATCCCACTTGTTTATGGTATGTAATCCTTGTAACATGTGGCCAATATTTTATTTTGGAAATTTTTTTGCATCAGTGTTGATACTGGCATAGGTTTTTGTTTCTCTGTTTTTCTTGTAGTGTCTTTTGCTTTGGTATCAGGGTAGTGTTGGCTTCATAGAATGACTTAGGAAGTGTTCTTTCCTTTTCAATTTTTTCGAAAAGTGAGAAGTATTGGGGTTAGTTCTTTACATATTTGGTGAGAATTCACCAGTGAATCCATCAGGTCCAGGGCTGATTTTTCTTTATTAAATCAATTATATTTAAAAAATTTTTAAGTAGGTTTTTTTTTTTTTGAGAGAGCAAGAGAGTGCATAAAGCAGGGGAGGGACAGAAAGAAGGAGAGACAGAATCCCAAGCAGGCTCTGTGCCATCAGCACAAAGCCCGATGTGGGGCTTGAACTCCCAAACTGCGAGATCATGACCTGAGCTGAAACCAAGGGTTGGATTTTAATAAACACATGAAAATTTTCTTTATGAAAATGACTAGATCTCTAGGTCAGGAATTTCAAAAGGCTTATCATCTTTCAAGACCATACACTGAATTCTAAAGTGTTAGGTTGCTAAGGAGCGATGGATGAGATCTTTCCTGGGATCAGCTTTTGGTTAGATATTGGAAAGACCCTTCAGAGTAGTGGACTGGGGAAAGTACAGACCAGGGAAAAGCCTTAGTGCATGCACTGTACTGGCTTATAATTCTGCTTTGGGTCAACTCTACCAGTGTGAGAATATATACGTGAATTATAATAATATGGAATATAATTTAAACTCCTCTCTATGAACATACATCCTGTATAGATCCAGCCTGATAATTAGAGTGGTTGAGTGGTCTATGCAAGGCTTTATTTTTTTGGGGGGAGGGGGTCAGGAGATTTTTTTAACTTTTTCAGAGAAAAAGCACAAGCATGGGAGAAAGGCAGAGGGAAATGGAGCCTAAACTGAGCATGGGGCCTGATGCTGGGCTTGATTGCATGACCCTGGGATCATGACCTGAACTGAAATCCAAGAGTCAGGTGCTTGAGTGCCTGGGTGGCTCAATTGGTTAAGTGTCTGACTTCGGTTCAGGTCATGATCTCATGGCTTGTGAGTCTCAGCCCCACATTGGGCTCTCTCTTGTCAGCACAAAGACTGCTTCGGATCCTCTGTACCTCCCCACCCCTCCCATTCCTCCCCTGCTGGTTTTCTATCTCCTTTTCTCTGTGTCAAAAGAAATAACTTTTCTTAAAAGTTTCTTAAAAAAAGAAAAAAGAAGAGAGAGATGCTCAACCAATTGAGCCACACAGGAGATTTTTGATTATTGATTCAATCTCCTTACTGGTTATAGGTCTACTCAGATTTTTTTCTTTTTTTGTGATTTGGTCTTGGTAGGTTTGTGTTTCTAGGAATCTGTCCATTTCAT